AATAATTTTCCTTGGGAGCCAGTTGCGTAGCTAGCGGTGTATATCCTCTTAATGTAGAAGTCGATGGCTTGTAACATAGGGTAAGTTTGGAAGACAAGGACTTTTGAAGGCAGTGACATTTTTAATTATAATATAGAAATACACATATAGAGAATGAATGAAACTAATATGGGTGTTCTCGAAGTATTGCACGTTGCACGGATTGCACAAAATGCAAAAATGCTCTTTCAAATGCGGAAAAGTACGATAGCACCCTGTTGCGAAGTGGTAGCTTGCATAGGTAGCAATCAGCGATACAGCAATAATTTTTAAGCAAAAAACAAAACCGAGTTCAATTCTCATATAAAAATTTAAGATTATCGTTAATTTATTCACGATCCAATTATCAGATCTAAACAAAATTAGTATGGGACCACCCTTGAGGTACCGCATTTGAGATGAAAAAAGAATTATCGAAATCGATTAACGTGGTCCAAAGTTATGCGAACGAAAACGAAATGTTAACCTCCTCCTTTTTTGAAGTCGGTTAAAAATGAAGTGAGTGAGATGAGAGGATTGAGAGAAACATGTAGCAATTCCAACAACAAAAGAGCTAGCACAGAGTCGCTTTTATTTTGTTATGATTTTTATTCAAGAATGATAGAATACAAGATTGCGCCGATCAGAGAGGATTTTTGAGAATAAATTTTGTGTGACGTCACACTGGTGCAATTGCGAGAGAGAAATGCCAAAACGTGAGCAAGAATGGAAGAAGAAGAAAAAATGTTGCAAGGAAAACGTAAACAAAAAACGTAAAGTTGCACCAGTGTGACGTCATTCAAACAACGATTCTGTCAAATTCGTTAAGAGAGGAATAGCGGTCCGAGATCGGCGCAACCTTTGTATTCTCTCAATCGTGATTTTTATTGCAAAATATGTGCATGGGTCCAGACGTTGCATACTTTGCAGCGATAGGAAATGCTGTATCCTATGTATTTTGTTGTTGTGTGTTTGCAAGTTATGCAATCCGTGCTACGTGCAACGGCTTTGCAAGATTTGCATATGTACACTAGGCCAGTGCTCGTCAAAGTGGTGGTCCGCGGACCGGTGCCGGTCCGTAAGCCATAAGTCGCCGGTCCGCAAAGGGCGTCGCGAAATGGACAACGATTTTTTAAAATAAATAATAAATAATTTTAATAAAACTTGACGTGCTTATAATATGTCTTATTATTATAACTTTACAGTTATTACATTTGTGATGTTTTATATTACTGTTTAATGAGGCTATATACAACTTGTATAATAAAAACAACTTAAATTTGTTAAACATTCATAAAAAATCGCGTAATATCTGCTATCATTAAATGGTAATAGGTCATATATAGACACCCGGCTAATAAAGAAATTCATTTAAACAAATTTTAATACATATATGAGATGATCGTAAACGAAAAATAATCAATAAAAAAAGGTACCGGTCCCCGACGTAATAGAAAAACTGCAGCCGGTCCGTCACACTCAAAAGTTTGACGAGCACTGCACTAGGCGACAAATGAAAGTGTTATGATAAATATATTATTCACGATTACTTTCATTAAACATTTTTTGCATTAAATATGTATTTATGAAAATATAGTTCATTCTATAATATTATTTACGATATAAATCAAGGTTTCACACTATGTAAAGTTATAACAAAAAATCGCATATCTGAACAATCAGTTGTATGGGAGCAATATGTAAAAGTGATCCGATCTTTGTTATTTTCACTATAAGTATTTCGTTGATAATGGATGGAAGTATTGCAAAATTTCATGTTCCTAGCTGCATAAATGGACAAGTTATAACGAAAAATCTCATATCTGAATAATCAGTTGTATGGGAGCTATACGTTATAGTGGTCCGATTCTTCCGGTTACGACAAATGATTAATACATTATGAAAATACACCCACCTACCAAATTTCATCCGGATATCTCGAAAACTGAGAGATTGCATACAAACAGATGGACAGACAGATAGACGGACATGGCGAAATCGACTCAGCTCGACATTTTTCTGGTACTTATATACATCGGACCAAAGTTATAATACCATTTCATGCTCATGAAAGGTATAAAAAACACTCCTAGAACCAGAAATATGTATGAGCTTATGGTATTACACTTTTTTTTTTTTTGAAAAAACCAATTTAAATTTCTTTTCCTGTCGGGAATTCGAATAGAACAAATTGGAGGAGAAGCTTGGCGAAACACTAACATATGTGTAAGCGCCAATCAATTAATTCATTAATTAATAAATTAATTAATTAATAATAGATTAGCGCTTACAGAATATGTTAGTTTTTGGCCGCGCTTCTTCTCCGATTTGTGGCGTGCGCCTTGATGTTGTCACACAAAGGGGACGGACCTACAGTTTTACCCCGACTCCGAACGGCGCTTTTATTTTTATGAGAAGCTGTTTTTCATGGCAGAAATACCGTTCGGAGTTTTGCCATTGTCTGCCGAGGGGCGACCGCTATTAGAAAACAGTTTATCTTTTCTTTTGTTTTTGTTGTTAGTCGGAAACTGGGCTCGATCCCATACCTTGTGGAATGTTAGTGCGCACTTCTAACCACTACACCACAGCGGCTGCACAACTATGTGAATATGTACATATGTATGTATTAAAACTGTTAGAGCACAGAGAATAGATACCGATATGCACTCTCTCGTTATATTTAATGCTTATTTGTATACATATGTATGTATGTATGTATATCATAGTTAAACTTACGTGTCGATTGTTTACTGGAAGACAAACATTACACTTACACACAACTTATAATGTTCTTGGCATTAGGTAAGTAGAAGTGGCTGCTACTACTCATTTAATTTTGTTTAAACAATTATGGTCTGTAGGAAAAACCATTATTGGTGTCTGAAGCAAGACGAATTCAGAAGTGTGTAGTACAATTGAAAAGAAATCTAATCAGCTCCTCTAACAACACTGCTCGTTGAGATATCTCTCAAAATCATACATATTTATGGGCCCATTAAGTTAAAATTTGTAGCAGATCGAGCCGTTTGCGCGAAATTATCGTATGTGGAACTTTTTGATGCAAATTTGTTCTACACCCCACACCCCCGGGACGCATTACATGGCAAAATATTGTAACCCTTATAGTTGCGCCAAAAATTTACTGTACATTTTATTGTATGTATGTTAAAATGTATTTTTCTTGTGAGCGAAATTATCGTTTATGCTATACAAAAATAAAGTGATTTAAACGTTGTAATAAGAGCTCAACCAGTTACCGAGGAAAATTCTGGAAAGGGTCTATCAATAATTGCACTAAAGTCCACGTCAACGGCGGCATCAAGGCCTGTGGAGAACTGAAATACCCTATTGATTGTTTAATTAAGCACGCATAACAAGGTAAGGGTAAGGTAAAACTCTTAGGAAGTAGGATCTCCAAGTGGAGTCTATGCTCATTTGTAACGCAGGATACCAGTAAGAGTACTTCAAATGCCCAAGAGGGCACGTCATTTTGGGTAGCATTAAGGGTACAATAATATACACAATTAAGTCAGTGCATTTTTATAGATACGCAGGGATTAGTCCAAGTTAGTTCTTTGGCGAAAGGCGAGCATGAAAGTATTCGGGCGGGGTATGCGTTCGCGAAAGGATCGGAAAAATTTAACGGTCACCCTATAAACTGAACAGCTACGGTTTAAGTTTTCTTAAAGTCCTTAGGTATAAGTTATTTACTCAACACAGTTAGCAACCAAGCAAAGCTATTGTTATTCAAGGGTAAAAAAAATCTTTTTAATAAATTTTTCGATTACTTTTTAAATTACTTAGAGGAGTGGAATTCGAAAAAAATCAATTACATTTTCAATTCCTTTCAAAGGAATTGGAAAAAAATCAATTAAATTCTCAATTCCTATTCAAATGAAAAACATTTTAGAACATTTTAGAAGAAAACGCTCTTTTCAAAAATTGGGTTTCAGTCACATACGATAATTTTGAAAAATGGTCCGATATATTAGTAACAAGGAAAGAATGAATTTAACAACAATTACTCCAGGTGTAACAGGGAACTATACCTTCAAGTGCCCAAACGTGATAAATCACCTTCACAACTTATTTCTGTATACGAATTAGTATACAATATTTTCCAGAGCATCGTAACGAATTATCGAAGTTACTCATGGTTAAGCTGGAGAACCATTCTAGCGGGGGAAAATGCCCAGGTAAACACCAGAGCAGCAGCATTATAAACTGAATCGAAAGTAAAATAGTGACAAACAAATTCATTTACTCCGTAATATACCAAAGTGAAGGATTGATTTTTCCAACGGAATTTCTTTTGTTCCCTAGATATTCCTGGAGCCCCTTAAGTAATAATTATATAGATAAATTAACACTTAAATATCTTTCTTTTAGTTCCAATAAAATTTTCCCACGTCTAAACTTCAATTACATAATAACCCGGCGATTACATTGGAATGCAATTCTACAATTCATTACATGTATGTCGTTAACTTTTTAATGGCTAACAAGACCCTTAATAGGTTCTCAAGTATTTTAAGAGACGCATAATAAATTTACTCTCTCACCGAAAAAAATATTTCTTTGTGATATCGAATGTTGTAAATATCTAAATGTACATATATTCAATTGTTAAGACATAAGAAATAAGAAATACGTTGAATTCAAGACGAAAACTTTGATTCACTCAATTGCACCCCCTTTTTCCTACTGGGTAGCTCTCACAGAAATGCTCTCGCAAATGCCTGTATGAATGTATATGTAAGTGCGAATGTTATCATAAACAACACTTGTTAGAATAAATGTTTATAAAAAGAGAAAAGAACTATACATGCAATTTTGCTAAACAGAGTCGTGCCGAACAGACGTGTCGCAAGTCTCAGTTTTTAGTTAACATAAAATAAATTGTGCTATAGTTCTAACGAATTCCTCCATAATTTTTGTCAATTTACGATCTGCGTAATAAATACATAAGTAGAGTGTGAAAAATGGCAACCAATTTTATAATCAACGGTACACCCTATACAGGTAAGAATATTTGATGTAAGTCTGTCCAATAGCATTGCCTCACAAATTTACTACGCAGTTAAGCTGTCCGATCTGCCATCGGATATTACTTTGAACACCTTTATTCGAGAACATGCGGGCCTGCCGGGTACTAAATTTATGTGCCAGGAGGGCGGATGCGGTGTATGCATTTGCGTGGTTACAGGTAAACACCCAGTCACAGCGGAAATTCGTACGTGGGCCGTCAACTCAGTAAGTTGTAATTTAACAGGGTTTACACAAGTGTGTACTATGTATATTAGAAAGTGAAAGAAAACAAAAAAAATTTGCCCTAGTGTAATTTGCGCTGAGTGTAAAATAATTTTGCAAGGCAATTTCGAAAAATTGTTTTGTTTTTGGCCAAACGTATGCAAAAGTCACCTTTTTACATTTGTCGTCGTATCTTTGGAATTTAGAGACAGATCTTAAAGTATGATGGATCGATGTTGTTTGTCTCGAGGAGCTCTTTTTTTTATTTAAAAGTACTTACACACCAGACCTCAATACATATCACTCTAACGTACCATCCTAATGCCAGTAAATAACAGCTTATCAAATATCAGTAACTTTTGCTATGGAAGTATTTCCATTACTTCAGTAGAACTATTTAACAAGAAATGTTTTGCTGAATGTGGGTGCCATCGTAAAATGTAAAAAATCCACACAAAATAATATTTTTTTTTCGAAATTGCCTTGCAAAAATACTGTAGACTCAGCGGTGTACGGCGAACTTTTTTTGTTGGCTTGTGAAGTGTTGTTGTGTACAATCTTATACTTAGTTTTGAAAAAAAAGCAAAAAAAATTCAAGTATGTTAAACCCAGTAAAAAATGCATTCCCTCTATTTAAAGTGCTTGACATTGCTGAATGCTTGCGCCGACTGGGAGATAACCACTACTGAAGGCATTGGCAACAAACGCGATGGTTACCATCCAATTCAGCAGCGCTTGGCCAAGATGAACGGCACCCAATGTGGTTATTGTTCGCCTGGTTTCGTGATGAATATGTATGGCTTACTGAAATCGAAGGGCAACAAAATTACCATGGAAGAGGTAGAGAACTCATTTGGTGGCAACATTTGCCGTTGCACTGGCTACCGCCCCATACTGGATGCCATGAAATCTTTTGCAGTCGATAGCAATATTGAGATACCCGATGAATGTCGTGACATTGAAGACCTGAGCAATAAAATGTGCCCGAAGACTGGCGTTGCTTGTAGCGGCGCTTGTAATGGCATCAAAAAACGTTCGCCGATCGAATATGACGATGGTGGTCAATGGTTCTGGCCAAAATCATTAGCTGACGTGTTCTCTGCCATCGACCAATCAAATGGCTCCAAGTATATGCTTGTTGCCGGCAATACTGCTCATGGCGTTTTTCGTCGAGATGAGGCGATTAAAAAATTTATCGCCGTCCATGGAGTACCTGAACTGCGTCAACACAATATTTCGCCAAGTGGTATAGTTCTAGGTGGCAATTTAAGCTTAACTGACGCAATGACAGTATTTCAAGAGGCTGCTAAATGCAATGGTTTCGAGTATTGTCAACAACTTTGGAACCACTTCGACTTAATTGCAAATGTACCTGTGCGCAATGTGAGTACTAAGTCACGCGTTGGTTAAATGTGATTTTGATATTGTTTTTAATTTTATGGCATCGTTATCTACATTAGTAAGCTATTTCAAGTGCTTTATATATATTTTAGCACTTATCGAACCTCACTCAAAATATTTTGTATTATTCCATTTTTATTTTTATTCGCTTGCTTTTAGATGGGCACCTTAGCCGGCAATTTAATGATGAAATACTACCGCAAAGATTTCCCCTCTGACGTTTTCATTGTTTTTGAGGCATTAAATGCTAAAATATCGCTTCTCGAGAGCGCCAAAAAAGAGAAGACGGTGACAATTGCAGAGTTTCTGAAAACTTCGATGCGCGGTAAAGTCATAAGAGCAATCATTCTTCCGCCATATTCACGCGCGCAATACATCTTTGATTCCTACAAGGTATTGTTTGAAAATTAAAAATTTCAAATTTGAATTAAATAAAATTTCTTGTGACTTGCTAGATTATGATTAGGGCACAAAACGCGCACGCCTACGTGAATGCCGCTTTCCTCATAAATACCGAAAAGCCCAGCCATAAAGTCAAATCCGCGCGGCTATGTTTTGGTGGTATAAATCCTGATTTCGTTCATGCAACAGAACTGGAAAAGATACTAGCTGGTAAACAATTACATGATCCTGAACTTGTTGCAAAGTTGTTTTCGATAGCTGGGCAGCACTTCGTTGCCGATGCAGTTTTGCCAGACGCATCTCCTGAATATAGGCAAAAATTAGCTTGTGGCCTTATTTTTAAATTTCTTTTGCGGCATGCACCGTCTAGCGTAATTCCAGAGAAGCTGCGCAGTGGAGCAGAGATTCTTAAGCGACCAACATCTTCGGGTAAACAAGTGTACGAAAGTGTGAAGGCAGAGTTTCCCGTTCACCAGCCGACAGTAAAATACGAAGGTGTGATGCAGACTGCTGGGGAAGCCACCTATTCAAATGACGTTCCCGTACAGCCGAATCAATTGTGGGCTGCCTTTGTTACAGCCAAGAAAGTCGGCGCTATGGTAACAGATATAGATACCTCTAAAGCACTGAAATTGCCCGGAGTTGTAGCCTTCTTTTCTGCTAAAGACATACCTGGAAAAAATACAATTTGTGGCAGTGAACAATTTCTTTTTACCGAGAACGAGGAGCTATTTCCAAGTGGTGCTATTAAATTTTATGATCAACCAATCGGTGTTATAGTAGCCGAGTCTAATGCCATTGCCAATCATGCTGCTGGGCTGGTGGAGCTCACTTATGCCGGCGGAGCCAACGAAGTTTTACCCACGCTCCATGATGTTTTGGATAGCGCCTGCGCGGATAGAATTGATCATACCGTCAAGTCCCTAATCGAGACATTACAAATTGACGAAAAATACGATATCCATGGGTCTGGAAAATTAGATTTGGGCTTGCAGTATCATTATTTCATGGAACCACACACCACCGTGGTAATTCCGTTCGAAGGTGGGCTGGAAGTATATGCGGCGGCTCAGTGGATGGACTTGGTTCAGGGCGTTCTGTCTGAATTGCTTAATATAAAAGTTAATGAGATTCAAGTTAAAGTACGGCGACTGGGTGGCGGATATGGTGGTAAGGCAACCCGCAACGTTCCAGCTTCTTGTGCTGCCGCATTGGCTGCCTTCAAGCTTAACCGTCCGGTGCGTTTCGTACAGTCTATAGAGTCGATGATGAATGTTCTTGGAAAACGTTGGGCTTTCCATTCAGATTATGATTTCTACGTTAAAAATACAGGCAAAATAGTGGCACTGCGTAATTCATTCTACGAAGATGCCGGTTGCTCAGCCAATGAATCTCCTCTGGGACACACTGTCTTGATGGGTAAAAATTGCTATGAATTCAGTGATAACTACAAGTTGGATGGCTATATGGTGTTCACCGATTCGCCTAGTAATGCAGCGTGCCGTGCACCTGGCTCTGTGGAAGGAATTGCCATGATTGAGAATATACTCGAGCATATTTCCTTCGAGACGGGACTGGATCCCGTAGACGCTCGCATTGCCAACCTAATTTCGGGTCATAAAATGTGTCAAGTTTTGCCATACTTTGTAGAAAGAACGGATTACAGAGCCCGAAAGCAGGCGGTAAAAAGTTTTAATGAAAATAATCGCTGGCGTAAGAAGGGTCTCGGCATCGCTATAATGGAGTACCATATCGGTTACTATGGCCAATTTCCGGCCACTGTGGCAATTTATCACACCGATGGCACTGTGATTATTTCACATGGTGGTGTTGAAATGGGTCAAGGCATGAATACCAAGATCGCTCAATTAGCGTCTTTTGAGCTGGGTATACCAATGAATATGGTGCGATTCGAAAACAGTAATACTGTAAACGGCGCAAACAGCATGGTAACTGGCGGCTCAATCGGCAGCGAAACAATTTGTTTTGTAAGTACAGTATTTCGTGAAATGCGATTCTGAACAATTTTCGCTAAAAATGCAAGTTTTTATAGGCCGTACGCAAGTGTTGCAATACAATCAAAGAACGACTGAGGCCAGTGCGCGAATCCCTGAAAAACCCCACATGGCTAGACGTCATACAGTCAGCTCATAGTCAACATATTAGTCTGATTGCAAACGATAATTGTAAGCCGGACGACATGGATCCCTACACTATTTGCGCCCTGGGCCTAATTGAGGTTGAGGTTGACATACTCACGGGCAACTATCAGTTACCACGGGTAGATATATTGGAGGATGCTGGCGAGAGTTTGAATCCAAATGTGGATATAGGACAAATTGAGGGTGCCGTTATGATGGGCCTCGGCTATTGGACTTCGGAGGAGATAATTGTCGATAGAAATACGGGAGAGATGAAGACAAATCGTACATGGAACTACAAGCCACCTGGTGCTAAAGATATACCGATCGATTTCCGTATTGAAATGTTGCCAGGTAGTCCAAATCCGGCTGGATTTATGCGTTCCAAGGGTATGTAACTCATGAAAATTTTATTGTTAAAATAAAAACTAAAACTTTATTTAACATTTTAGCGACGGGTGAGCCGGCGATATGCTTGCCAATAGCGGTAGGCTTTGCCTTACAAGAGGCTTTACAATCTGCACGTTCGGATGCTGGGTTGGCAAAGGAATGGATTCCGCTGACGGCGCCAATGACTCCCGAAAGAGTTTTGCTAAAGTCAGGCACTGATCCCAGCATGTTCCAGTTAAAGTGAAGATAAGCGTTCAAAAATTAGCACGTATTTGTTATAAGAATGTTGGTAAAGCGTTTTTGGATTAGAATAAGCAAAGTTTCCAATAAAAATTTGTATTTTCTGTAATCAAACTTAATGATCAAAGAGTTATGTAAAAACCTTTTTACCAATTGGAACTGATCTCAAGTTATAATTGATCAAATATACATACTTTTGTTTGTATATATGTATGTCCATGTTGCATGCCATACCTAAATGTCAATAAAATTTAAAATAATAGCTTTTCTCAATAGATGTAATGATGATCTTATTCATATTCAAAATATTTTTTTTGTTATTTTTATGGCCTTATAACAATTATATTCAACAATTTTTATGAGCTCGAGGCCGTATTAAGTGCAAATTTATTGTGGAAAAGCAACAATAATTTGAAAAAAATGGTAGAAGTGATAGCTATTTCGGAAATGTGGTGATTGGTGATGTGGTCCCATTGCAATGGAAAGTTTGATGCCGCGTACATAACTGGAATCATACTGAGGTGAACCATTTGACCAGAGTTCTCGGTCTGGAACATTATTCCAAAGAATTTTAGCATTAAATCGGTGAACCCGCACATTACTAGGCCAGGTATTTTGTGAAAAATATATTTATTCTGTGGTTTCTTACGAAGATTACCTCTCCCCTCTGATACATATTTGTATTTGCAAATTCCTTTGATTAAAGTATAGATTAAAGGGCAATCAAGCAGTGACTCATTGATCCTGTAAAATAGAGAGAGAGAGCCAACCTTTGCAGTGTGTAAAAATGAGACGAAAATAGAGCTTCTCCGAATAAAATTAATGTGCCTGCGCAAGTGTAGTAAAAAGTAAAAATTGGTAACAAAAAATTAACTTGATCAAATCTTTACACGTGCCTCCTACACGGGTGCCTCAAAGCTAAAAGGTTAGGTGTGGGTGTATAATTCGAACACCAGAGTACTGTAGCTTTTTTCCGACGGAACTAATGGCAATCCCAAGTTGATATCTACACTTACGCTGACAGCCAGTAGGCAATCAAATCTCTAACGAAGCAGTCGACAACCTCCATGGTAGCCATGAAATGCCGCACATCTCTTAACTAGATGGCTGAGTCATATCGCCCAAAGGAGATATGGGTTCCAGGACACTGCGACATTGAGGGGAACCGTAAGGCCGATGAACTGGCGCGACTATGCACCCAACTCCCTATTGCGGATATAAACGATGAACTAGGAATACTATTACCAACTTGCAAGCTACTCATTTCCGAGAGGCTCACTCAAGTAGCGAATGACAGATGCCACCTGCAGAACTGCCAGGAAACTATGGCCAGCGCTACTACTGAGCTTAAATAAGCAGAATATCAGTTTGTTAGTATCTGTTATAACAGGACACTGCCTAATTTGGCAGGCATCCCTATTGACTAGGCGTACAATTACATGACTTCTGCAGAACTAGTCAAGATGAAGAGGAGGAGGAAATGATTTTGCACCAGTTGTGTAGATAATTCTTCGATAACCTGGAAGACCTCGATGTGCCGAAATCAGGGATCCTCTAAAATTCCTACGAAGCTTAAAATGATGTGTCCTATCGCCAACAGCGACAACCTAGCCAAAATGTTTGCACTTCCATTCACTTTCCATACCACGAAAACCAAAAAAAATACGATTTTTATTTCTGTAGACATTAATTTTATTTATTTCTTATAAATGATTAATTTGATTCGCTTGATGCATTGTCTTTATATTTATTTGAAATCATTTATGCTTTTTCATACATTTTTGATAGTTACTTTATTTTGTTTTCACAAACTTTTTAAATACTTGAAAGTAAAACTTAAATACTTACAGCTTTTGAAGTAGAGTTTAAGTAAAAAATTCAGAGCTTATAGTATAACTGCATACTTTTTTGATACATATTATTTATTTACAATTTTTTTTTGTGGTATCTATACGTTATAATTAAGAAATATTTCATAATCATATAACACGCATGTAAGCATGTGCTATGTATGTATGTATGCACATACGATTGAAACAATAAATTTTATGCAAATTCTCATATTCATTCATTACTTATTACAACGTTGACAAAATATGTTAAAAGAACAACATTTATAACATCGATAAAAATATTTTTATATAAGATAATATATAACAATTGAGAAAACCGACCTATATCACATTTAGAATTGATTAAATTCAAATTTAGTTTCTTTATTTTTATGCCTATAATTTTTTTTTTTTTTTACAGTTAAACTAATTGTATAATAATTTAACAAATTTATTTACTCCTAATTTGATTTATGCTTAAGATGCAGAAAAAAAATTTAGGTTTGATATTTTTTATGCCTAATGTAAATATTATAATTGTTTTTCAACTCAATTTAATATCTGCATGCGGAACTTGGTTTAAATTGAGAAGAAAAGGATCGATATACTTATACATACATTTATCTACATTCTTATCTACTGAAGAAAATGGAAAATCTTTATTGTATTTTTGGTCTAGTATTTTTATTTAACTTTATTTACTACATACTTACTTAAAATTATGACTTCTTTTACTTTAAGAGCAAAAATTTTGGAAACCATAGACTTTGTGATCTGGGAAGCTAACTGGATTTACAAATATGAATTTCCAAACATGGCAAAAGCGACACATCTGAAAAATCAGTGGTCGAAAGATTTTTTTTGTTATTTAATTTCACTTATTTTTTATAAAAAAAAGTTCGGACCACGTTGGATTCAGTGAAAGGCGCCGAGTACTTTGCATTTAAGAGTATCTGTTAAATACTTTGGCTATTTTTAACCGACTTCGAAAAAAGGAGGAGTTTATCAATTCGACGGAATCGACGCATTGCTTTGGGCAACGTTAACCAATTTCTATAACTAAAGGAGAGGTGGTATCTCAGATGTGGTCCCATACTAATTGGGTCTAGAGCCGGTCTTTGGATCATGAAGAAATTAGCGGTAAATGTTTATATATTTGAATTAAAGTCGGTTGGGGTTTTTGGCTTAAAAAGCACTTTTTATTTTCGTTATTGTTATAGTTATTGTTTTATATTTTGCCATACCATAGCCATAACCAAAGTTATAGCAATCATCTGGTGCCTTACCATAATGCCGTAGCCGCAGTTTTAGTTTTTCGCCATGATCACAAGCAGCTGTGAATGAAGTATTTGACAAAGTTATGCCTATGGCATTATAGCTATGACACCTTTAATTGGGCCTTAGGGAATCGTCAAAAAAATAATTGTTCTCCCAAATTCAAACTGATTAAACTGCAGAAGTGTTTGACAGGTACACAATTGCCATTCACTTTGAAAAAATTGGAATACGAATTTTTGCTTGTTCTAATAAGTACGAATGATTTTACTTATTACTTTGTTATCAGCACGTTTGCTCTTTCTAACTTACATAAGTTTAATATATTTTTGATACAATTTCAGTCTCCTGATATTTAAATTACATATACATATGAACAGTGATGAACAAAAGTTTTTTACCTGTGAATTTTTCACAATATATGCAATGTTTTTTATTCTAATTTGTATTCGTTGAATTTTTATAAAAAATATAGTTCATACTACACCAAAAAACATAAAAATAGTATCTCTAAACTTTGTGCAAAACTCAGGAAAATTCAATAAATTGGCATACTAATTTTGTAACTTTATAATAAGATTTTTTAGAAAAATGCTTATTATGCAGTTTTATAGCCCATTAAATTTTAGTACAACTAAGCGCACTTTTGAATTTGCTAAAAAATCGCTTCGATTCTCGTTAATTTTCTTAGTGGATGGTGTTGCTCATTTCCTCCATACAAAAAATAACACAGGTTTACAAAAAAAGTTTCTGAATATTAAACCAAAACTCTATTTTTCTAAAAAAGCTTAGTACAAAAAAAGTTACAAATTAGTATGTAAATTTATAGAATATTCCTAAGTTTTGCACAAAGTTTAGAGATTTTACTTTTTATGTTTTTTGGTGTAGAATAAAAAACTTTGCATATAATTGTCTGTGTCCATACTTTTGTTTGTCACTGTAAGTACATCTATGTATGTACATGTATTATTTTAAAGGTTTTTGCTTTATTATGCCCTTGTTTATGAAAAATAAAAAAAGACGTGAATACCAGACACTCATGAAATTTGATGTGTAAACATCGGTGCCCAAAACTAAAACCGAACAAGTCCTGAACTTACCTTGAAGCAGCCCTGAACTGCTCCCAAACTAGTATCGAAATGACCCCGATAAGCCCAGAACTAATCCACAACTGTGCTGAGCTAGTCCCGAAAAAGTCTTGAGTTATTCCGGAAATGATCCATAGGAACTAGTTCCTCAATGGACCTAAGAAAGTCTCGAACTATATCAGCAAGCAGCGTTGTTTGAACGGCCGAATAGATTTGTTTTCATTTGTACTACTATATACTTCTAAATTTTATTGGTTTACGAGTGTCAGTTTACGCAAATTTTTCCCATGCCGAGAACAAAGATGTTTTACATATCAAAAACTTATTGAGAAGCTTCATGAAATGAAGATTTTCTGAACATTTTAAATTAATATTTTTTTTTTCAATGAATTATGGGCTTAATATGTATTATTGTATTAAATTCATAGTCGCTTTGGGATAAAAGTATAAGGTAGGTATAATAAAAGTATGAAATTACAAATTCTATACACAAGAACAAACATACATACACCTTGTATATTCATACACTTATTGCTAATGCAAAAATATATAAATTGT